GTTGCATAGTACTCCATTGTGTATATGTACCACAGCTTTTTTTATTTATTCATCAACTGATGGACATTTGGGCTGTTTCCAGATTTTAGCTAGGAATTTATTTCTTTCAGATTCTCACATTTGTTGGCAAGTAATTGTTAGTAATATTTTCTTAAGATCTTTTGTATTTCTGCCCTGGCTGGTTTGCTCAGTGGTTAGAGTACCAGCCCACAGACAGAAGAGTTGTGGCTTCAATTCTTGGTCAAGAGCACGTACCTCGGTTGTGGGATAGAGCCATGGCTTTGGTCAAGGTTGTGTGGGAGGTAATCAATCAGTGTGTCTTTCTCAAGTGAATGTTTCCCTCTCTCCCTCCCCCTCCCTCCCTCCCTCCCTCTCTCTCACTGTATCAGGGATGGGGGGGGGGAGTCAATGGAAGAATGTCCTCAGGTGAGGATATTTCTCTAGTGTCAGCTGTTACTTCTCTGTCATTTTTCATTGTTTGGTCCTCGCGCTCTTTTTCTCTTGGTGAGTTTAGTTAAAGATTTGTCAGTCTTATCTTTTCAAAGAACCAACTCTTGATTTCCATTGTATTTTTATTTATTTTTTTTACTCTTTTGTTTATTTCTGATATTTGTTTTGTTTGTTTTTTTTATTCTCACCTGAGGACATTTTTCCATTTGTTCAGATAGAGTGGGAGGGAAGGAGAGAGAGAGAAAGAGAAACATTGACGTGAAAGGGACACATCGAGTGGCTGCCTCCCGCACGACCAACCAGGGCCGGGAACAAATTGCAACCAAGGTACATGCCCTTAGTGGGAACTGAACCCAGGTCTCTCTGGACCTCAGGCCAACACTCTAACCACTGAGCCAAAACGGCCAGGGCCTGATAATTGTTTTTTTTTCTTCTGATTTTGAAATTTGTTTATTGTTGTTTTTCTTATTTATTTATTTAGTTTTATATGGAAAGTTAGATTGTTTGTGATTTTTGTTGTTTTCTGAGATAGGCCTGTAATGCTATGGATTTTTCTCTTATGACTACTTTCTCTGTGTTCCGTAGGTTTTGGGTTTGTTTGAGGTATCATTTTCATTTGTTTGAGGTATCTTTTGATATCATCCTTGATATGATTGTTAATGTATTCATTGTTCAGTAAAATGTTATTTAGTCTCCATGTCTGTGTGTTTTTCAAGGATTTTTTTGTGTGATTGGTTTCTGTTTTCGTACCACTAGGCAGAGAAGATATATTATTTCAATTTTTAAAAATGTATTAATATGTGTTTTGTGTCTTAACATATAGTGTATTTTAGAAAGTGTTTCAAGTGCTCTTGAAAAGAATGTTTATTTTGCCGATGTAATGCCCTGAAAATATAAATTAAATTTATCTTGTCTAGTGTATCCTTTAAGGCTGCTTTGTTGATTTTTCTGTCTAGAAGGTCTATCCATTGATGACAGTGGGTATTAAAATCCCTCCTATGACTGTATTACTGTCCATCAAGATTTTTTAAATGAAATTTACTTGTTTACTTTTGTTACATATGTTTTCCTGTTTGACACCCTCCTGCCCTCTCCTGACCCCCTGTCCATCAAAATTTACTTTACATATTTAGGTGCTCCTGTGTTGGGTCCATAAATGTTTATAAGTGTTATATCCTTCTTGCATTGCTCTTTTTATCATTATGTAGCATTCTTTTTTTTTCTTTTTTTCTTTTTGTCTCTCACTATATAACCTTCGTTTTAAAGTCTATTTTGTCAGACGTTAAACATTGCTACTCGAGCTGTTTTTTGTTTTTGCATGAAATGTCTTCTTTTTTTCTCTTTATTTTTAGTATGTGTGTTTCTCTTTTATTATGAGGTAGGTCTATTGTAGACATTGTATATATAGGTCTTATTTATTTTATCCTTTGAATGGAGTATTTAAGCCATTTATGTTTAAAGTGATATGTATTTATAGCCATTTTATTATCTTATTCATCTTCTCGCCTCCACCCCCCCCCGTTTTTTTTGTCTCCTCACAGGCCCTTTAACTTTTCTTGTAATACTGGTTTGGAAGTATCAGACTCTTCCTTTAGCTTTTTCTTGTCTGGATAGCTCTTTATTTCAATTTTAAATGATAGCCTTGCTGGGTAAAAGGAGTCTTGATTGTAGGTCCTTGTCTTATATCACTTTTAATAGTGTATGCCTGTCCCTTCTGGTCTGAAATGTTTATGTTGAGAGATCAGCTGACAGTCTTATAGGAGCTTCCTTATAGGTAACTGTGTCTCTCTTGCTGCTTTTACAGTATCTGTCTTTAAGCATTGCCATTTTAATTTTTACGTGTCTTGGTGTGGGCCTGTTTGGACTATTTTACACTTCCTGGATTTGTATGTCCTTTTTTCTTCACCAGGTAAGGCAAGTTATTGGTCATTCTTTGTTAAAATAGGTTCTCAATCTCTTCCTCTCTCTCTCCTTTTTATGGTATGCGTATCATGTGGGTGTTGTTATAGTTTACGTTGTCCCTAAAGCTCCATAAACTATCCTCATTCAAAAAAAAATCTTTATCTTTTTGCTGCTCTAATTGAATGATTTTTTTCCTACTTTATCTTTCAAATTGTTGGTTTGATCTTGTATTTTATACAGCCTATTATTTCTTTCTTCCATTGTGTAATTTATTTTAGATACTGTATTCATTTCTGATTGGTTCTCTTATGGTTTCTGTGCCATTTTTCATGCTGTTCAGCATCCTTTTAACCATTACTTTATGCTTTGTTTTTTATAAATTGTATGCTTCCATTTTATTTAGCTTCTTTTTGGGAGATTTCACTCTGTTCTTTCGTTTGGGGTCTCTTTCTTTATTTCTCCATTTTTATATGTGGTAGGCAGATCTGTTTTGACTTCCAGTCTTTATAGGGTAGCCTTAATTAGTAGATGTCTTGTGGAATCCTGTAGTTCAATTTCCCTAACCTGAGCTGGGTGCTTCAGTAATATCCATTGTGTGGCTTATGTAGGCCCTCCTGTTGTAATTGAGTCTTGATTGCTGTTGGCCCATTTGTGCGTGGGATCACCTCTCAGGCTGGCTGACAAGAGGCTCAACCTTGATGAGTGCATGCAAGTTCCTATGCAGGTGCTGATCACACTAAGTGGAATTCAGCTCAGCAGGGTTTGTCCCTCCCCATATCTCCCTTTAGATTTGCCATTTGTGAAGCTAATTGAATCCTTCTCTGATGTTGTCTGAAGCTAGCCACTGGGTGTGTTGCTTCCAGGCCTCTTGGGAGGGGTTCTGGTGCAGGTCAAGTGATCCACATTTTGTCTGCCTCTGCTGGGCCTGGGTGGATGTGGCAAGTACCAGGCTGCACAGTAAGGCTGGTTTTTATCATCACTGGTCCTGGAGGCAGGTCAGGAAAGTCCCAAGGCACTGCCATATTTGCTTTTTGCCTTTAGGTTGCCTGTTAGGCTTTGTCACTGAAAGAACCTCTGGTGGTACTTGAGTTGCATGAGGTGGGTTCTAAGTGAGTCAAGGCAGGAGCAAGAGGTGTTCACCAGGCTAATACAGGTTCAAGCTCGGTGACAGTGCTGAAAGTGAGGCCACTCAGCAAATGTCTGTGCGTATACTGTGTCTTACTGGGTGCTTGTACACCTTGTGTTGGGATGGAGTCTTAAGGAGTTGTCAGAATGAGAACAGCAGAGTTTAATTATCAGGCCAAAACAGAAAATTTGGATGTGTTAAGGGAAGGCTCTGCTTTGTTCAGGTGGGTGAGAGGGGAAAATGGCCCATTTTAAAGCCACACAGCTTAGTCTGTCCCAGATTTTGCTGGGGAGGAGACAGAGCTCAGCCGGTGAGGATGTTGGAGTTGGGAGGTTGGGGCTAGTGGACCTCCTATGAGAGAGTGATGTAGGTCAGGCTTGGGAAGGTTGGGGATATGGCCCCAGCCCAGAGTCTCATAGCTCATTCTGTCCTGATTATGCAGGGTTCTCCGTTGCACCAAGCCACTAGATGTGGAGTAGGTGGAGCCTCTGAAGCACTGAGGGTGGGTGTGTTGAAGGGTAGGCAGGTCTACCATAAGCTCATAGGGTCATTCTAGCAGATCTCCTGTGATGGAGAAGGACAGTCAGGTTCACAGGAAAGTAGGGCAATTACCCCACAACAAGGATGGACAACTCATAAATTGACATTTCGAGTCTACGCAGACATCTACATCTCAGCCTAGGCAACTGACTCCTCAGCAGGTTGTAAGGTACACATGTGGGGACAATAGGGAGACCAGAGCAGATAGTTATTACATTCCCCAGGCTGATACCAGTCAGTGGGGAGGATTCCAGCCAGGAAAAATGGCATGTTTAGTAATGGAATGTGACTCAGCACAGGGGTCCTGGCAGCTTTTCCCCCAGATCCTTTCCTTCAGAGCCACAAATCATTGTCACTCCTAATGTGACTCTAGTTTGCTCTATCCTCCATCTGCAGGAACCCAGGGTGAGTGGCTGCAAACAAGATCTTACACATTGTGCTTTGGCCTTTTAAGGAGATTACTGTGTCTTTAGCTCACTCTAGTCTCTCCCTGGTGGATAGAATCCCCTCAGATTTTCACATCCAGATGTTATGTGGCCTTCTCTTCCTGGCTGTGGTGCTGTGGGCTGGAGAGCCTGGGCTGGGGCTTAGACCCCACACTTTTCACAGGGAAGCCCCTGAAGCTAGGATATTTTTCTGGAATCTTCGCTGCCACCTGTTACCCGCCAACATGGGGCCAACCTTTTTCATGCCTTTACCCCCTTTACCAGTCTCAGTGTGTCTTCTGTAAATCCTTGGTTATAAGACTTAAGTTCAACTAGGGTTCAATTGGTTTTTGAGGTTGATTGCTCTATAATTTGGCTGTATATCTAGTTTGGCCACCAGGAGCAGGTTACTGTAACTGTCATGTTCTCTGCAGCCATCTTGGAATCTCCAACATGATTTTATTATTATGTATGTGACCTTAAAAGCCTTAAATATATAAATCAATTTTGTGCAACTCTAAATTTAGTGCATTAATATTTTTACTTTTCTGTTACAGCATTTTCAGTTAGCCTTGATTGACTGTAATCCCAGTACTTTGTCCAAAGTTGAAAGTAAGTATTTCTAAGTACCATAGTTTTATTGTCTTCTTGAGGAACAGGCTATCCATAAGACATTTGAAATCATGACCATAAAGACCTTTTGTTGGGTTATTGAAAAGAAGGATGGGAGGCACAAGACTACTTGGAGACTTTAGGACAGTTAATTTGAGTAGTTATGTGTGTTTTTTTAATGATAATCAATGTGGTTACTTAATAACTATAAAAATCTCTAGTTTTGTACAGAACACTAGCACATAGTTGTTGTCTGCTTTATGCTAGATATCATTGGTAATCATTGTTATCTTGTAGGGTCTGTCTTTTTAAGTGGAAAAAAGATTTTTTTTCTTTTAATGTCCTTGAAGATTTCCATATTCCATACACCATGACTATTTTTGAAACTCTTAACTGTGCTTGTAAAATTGGGATGATCAGAGTATTCAAAGTAAAGCTAAAAAGAAACTCAGTGGAAAATGTAGTTTTATTTGTGAGTAAATTAGGGAAAGTATAGTTTCTTTATGTAAGTATATAGTTTTAAAGCTAGCAAGATGGATTATATCGTTAATATTTATGAAATGTTATGTGACACAAAAATTGTATTACAAATTGTTCTTTATTCACATATTCAGAAAATAATGTTTCTAAGTAAAATTTAATTTCAAGACATTTTTGGGCAATGATTTAAAATTTTCAGTTTGTGTAATTAAAATGCTTCATGTTGAACATTTTGCCAGTTACATATTAATGCTACTTGTTCAAACTATGTTTTAGAGTGAAATAGATTTTTACCTTACAAAAAAATGATGTATTATATGGGACTGTGATATCATAGATACGTGCCAAATAGTTGTTTGATTTTAGAGTTAATTACAAAATTTGGCGATAATTTTTTTTTTTTTAAGTAATGTAATTTATGGGTACCTGGTGCAGTGTTATTCAATCTAGGTATACAGAATTTACTAGAAAGCTGAGGAAAAGTAATGAAACAGTACTAAAGCCGCCATTTCACAGGCTTACTGAATCAGAATCTTAAAGAGCTAAGTTTAAGAATTGATAATGTTTTCATTTTTCCTGAAAGATTTTTATCTTTATGGTATTCATTGAGATATAATAAAGAGAAGGTGTGGGAAAGGAGGAGGAAAGAAGAGAAAAAAGTAATTTGGGTATTTATCCTAAATGAGAATTTCATGATTTCTGTGAGACTCTTCTTAGAAAAAAAATACATATATTTAAATATTCTGCATATAATTTGAAAGTTGTTTTGTAGTTAGGACCTAACACTAAACAGAGAGGAGATTTGTATTAGACAAAAAAGAACAATATAATCCAAATAGCTATAATGTAGTTGTTAAAATTATTGTGATTTTTGTTTTGCTGAATTTTTTTTGGTCTTTGTTAAATCCATTCATGCTTCTAGTGTTGGGAATTGGGCATCGGGAAGAGTTTCTATAAAATGAAGCAAAATATTCAACCTTTATTTGAATTTTAAATACACTTATTTTATAGTCTTGCTTTTTCAGGTGGTTTGACTTATTTTTTTAAAGTCACCTAATTCTGAAGAACAACAAAAAGTTAGTAGAATTATTTACTAAAGATGTTCGGTATACTAAAATATTAGTAAATTAATTTTTGTCTGGTCAGTGACTTCTTGGGAAATACTGTTTATATAAAATTTACTATGAAGAAAAACCATATATTTAAAAAACATTTTTATTAATTAAGCAGTAGTTTTACTGTATATTTAAGGTGACAGTACTGAGTATCCTTTGTCAAGATATATACATTTAGAAGATTATACTTAATATTGCTGATTTGAACTTTGTAAACTTGTTTAGTATTGATTTTTAATGCTTTCTATATATGTAAATGCTATTTGTAATTAAAAATAGTGGGATAATTATTTAATGCTTTTTAAAGCATTAAATGATCTTCTGTAGATTTATCTGTATATTGTTCTATTAAAAAGAAAAGTTACACACTCTTAAATTTGTCATCTAGTTTTAGCATTTTCTTATGTTGTGTATTTTTGTTTATTACCTGAAACTCAGCTTTATTTTGATTAATTTCTTTCCGTGATCCTTTGTAGTTCAATTTCATATTGCCCACTTGTATGAAACACAGGTAAGTATTTTAACTTACTTTACTTGATAACAAGAAGTAACAACAGAATTCTCATATATTCTTTAATTGAAATTATATTAGACAAATAGTCAAATTAATTGAATTCTATATATATATATACACTACATCCATATATATACTACTATATCCATTTAAAATTTACAATAATTGAATGTATTTAAAGTTTTGCTTAGTGATAAAGTTTATTAGAGCAATAAGGGAATTCATATTCAACTAACATAGTTTTTCTGTTTGTTTTTGAAGATTTTTTTTCTGTTAATCCTTACCTGAGGATTTTTTTTCTATTGATTTTTTAGAGACAGTGGAAAGGAAGGGGGGAGGGGGAGAGAGAGACAGAGATCAATTGATTGCCTCCAATACATAACCCGACTGTGGCTGGGGATCACTCCCACAACACAGATTTATTTGTACCATTGGCCTGGAATCAAACTTGGCAAACCTTCCATGCTCAGGCAGATGCTTCAACCACTGAGCCGCACCTGCCAGGGCCAGTTAGTATTGTTTTTGTAACTATATCAACTGACTAATTTAATAAATTTTCCAAACACTCTGCTTGCTGTATAGTAGAAAATATTATTTAATATGATTTGTCTTCAATATTGGGTTATATCTACACACTGTGAAATGATGTACTTAAGTTTTTTACCCTCCTAATGATAATATCTAGTTTTATATTTTTAAGTATTTATGGATATTTAAAATATTGTCTTTGAATAATTTCTTCTGTTTTTCTCCAACAATAAAATGTCTTTAAAACATCTTTTTGTTAACACGCAGTATAGTCATCCTTTGATATTATTGTCATTACTTTAAGGTAGGTTTTTAAAAGTATTTCAGTTTTAATTTTTAGTATAGTTACTATATGGCAGCTTGTTTTTGGTTGTTGAATTGAAAACTATAGTTACATACAAATTTATAATCCATGGTAGAAAATCAGGAAGTTTGTACGAGATAGAACACAATTATGTAGAGTTAATTCAGAGTAGTTGAGCATCTATTATTATATTGTAATTGTGAGATACATGTAATAGCAGAGTTTCGGAGAAAAACGCTTTGCACAGAAAAAATTGTGAGTTTTATCCTTTTGTTTTTAGTCCCAATTGTAAAATAATGGGGCGGGACACATACAGAATTATACCCAAAAAATGAAAGATGCTTGTGCGTAATAAATTATATTATTAAGGATATATAGTAAGATAGTTGAGATCATTTAAGTGGCTGGTTGCCAAACCCAGTTTATAGAGTAAACATCAGGGAGAGCTTTAAAAATATTAGTATCAGTTTTCTGTATCTCACTTCCCCTACCACCGTCTCCCTCACTTATCCACCCCAAATTCTTATATTTACTGAATCAGAGTTGATACATCATCAAAGTAGGGGATTTTGCTAGTAGGGGATTCTTCCTGTTTTAAAAAATGTGTTGATAATTTGCAACCTTTTTTTATGATTGTCATAGATAAGAACTTTTATTTTCCAATTAAATCTTTTGTATATATAAAGTTTTTTCATTATTTTTAAATTTTATTTTTATTGAATTTATTGAGGTAATATTGGTTAATGAAATTATGTGGACTTCTTACACAGTTCTGTGATATCATATGTATATTGTATTGTGTGCCCACAACCCAAAGTTGAATCTTATTTCATTGTCATACACTGGACCTTCTCAACCTATTGTTATTCCTCATCCCCATATCTGTCAGGTAACCACCATACTTTTCTGTTGCCTGTGTTTATGAGTTTTTATGTCTTGTTTGTTTGTCACTTTCAGTTTTATATTCCACATATGAGTAAAATCATGTGGTTCTTGACTTTTTTGTTAGACCTATTTCACTTAGCATATTCTCAAGATCCATCCATATGGATGCAAATGGCAATATTTCATCTTTTCTTACAACTGAGTAATATTCCATAGTATATATTTACCACAAATTCATTATCCAATTAATTATAGAAGTATACTTTGGTTGTTTGATGTCTTGACTACTGTGTGTAATGCTGCAATGAACCTAGGGGGTCATAAAATTTTTTGAGTGAATGTTTTCAAATTTTTCTGGTAAATGAAGTTTTCCTAATAGCCAAACCCAGTTTGTTGAGCATCATTTTATACATGTGTTGGCAATTTGTGTATTTTCTTGAACGGAGTGTTTGTTCAGATCTTTTTCATTTAGATTGTTTGGTGTTGAGTTGTATGAGTTCTTTATATTTTTTGGATATTAACCTCTGTCAGGGCTCTGTCAACATTTGGTTTCCAACCATTTGGTTGGTTGCCTTTTTGTTCAGTTCACAGTATTTTTTTGTTGTGCAAATGCTTTTTAGTTTCATGTAGTCCCATTCATTTTTGCCTTTACACATCCTTTGCCTTTGGGGTCAAATTAATAAAATCCTCTTTAAGACCAGGTTCATTAAATTTAGTACCACTGTTTTATGTAATTTATTGTTTCATTTCTTATATTTACATCTTTAAATGGCCGTATTATCTAAAGCAGTATATAGATTTAATGCAGTCTCCTTCAAAATCACAATGGCATTTTTTTTATTTTAAAGATTTTTTTTTTTATTGATTCTTAGAGAGCTAGGAAGGAAGGGAGAGAGAGAAACACCAGTATCGAAAGTGAAATACTGATTGGCTGCCTCCCGCATACCCCCTACCAGAGATTGAATCCACAACCTAGGCATTTGTCTTGACTGGAAATCAAACTGGCAATCCTCTGATGAAAGGGACATCATCCAGCCCACTGAGCCATACTATCTAGGGCCACAATAGCAGTTTTCAAAGAATACAACAAACAAAAAAAATTACCAGATTTCTGAGGAACTATTGGGGGTGGAGGGGCTAAAAAACCAGAGCAATTTTGAGGAAAAAGAATGAAGCTGGAGTTGTTAAACTCCTCCTTGACTTGAAATTATACTGCAAAGTGACAATAATCAAAACATAGACCAATGGAACGGAATTGAGAGGCCAGAAATAAACTTTCATTATATATATGGGCAAATAATTTTTTTGCAGAGGAACTAAAAACATACCATGGATTAAGGAAGACCTCTTTTATAATGGCACTGACTGAGGCCTGGCCAGTGTGGTTCAGTTGTTGAGCATCGACCTCTACACCAAGGAAGTCACTGGTTCAGTTCCCAGTCAGGGCACATGCCCAGGTTGTGGGCCAAATCTCCAGTGGGGGGAGGGGGGGGCATGCAGAAGGCAGCCAATCAATCGATATTCTCTCTTATTGCTGTTTTTCTCTCTCTCTCTCTCTTTCTTCCTCTTCATCTCTCTTTAAAATTAATAAAGGAAATATAATAATAATGGAACTGGAAAATTGAAAAGACATGCAAAAGAATAAAAACAGATAGCTGTTTGTCCCTGATTTATTATTTTGACATAGGAAAAATGATTTTAATAGTCTGTTATCATTGTGCATGTTAGAATATTAAAAAGTATCTTATTCATTGCACTCTTCAAAGAAGGAAATGTTTGAATTTTACACCTAAGTAATATATTTGTTACAGAATTCTTGCATTTGAATTAAAAAAATTTTTTTTTCCTTTATTGATTTTTAGAAAGAGAGGAAAGGAGAGGGAGGGAGGGAGGGAGTGGCGGAGAGAGAGAGAGAGACATTATTGAAAGAGAACATTAATTGGTCACCTCCTGCCTGCCCTCCACTGGGGATTGGGCCTACAACCTGTGCATGTGCTGAGACTGGGAATCAAACCAGCAACTTCTTGGTGCATGGTTCATCGCTCAACCACTGCCACACTGTCCAGGCTGCATTTGAATTTTTTAAAATTGGAGTATGTCTGTTATTAAATTGTACAATTGATGCTGTTATAATAGAATGGGCCATAAACTCTCAACTGAGTGTATTCATCTTAGGGGAATGTGGGCAGTATACGTTCATATGATATAAGAATTCTTGATCTCAGTGGATAACTTTTTCTTAACTAATCCGGAAAAATACTTCTGTTTGAAAACTTTTATTTATAATTGTTAATGGTCTGTTTAAAGTAATATGATCCATAAAAAAGTTTTTTGTGGCTATTTAAGTACATCTTTGTGTATTTTTTGTTTTGTTTTGTTTTTGTATGTGCCCCTAGTGGGAACCGAACCCAGGACTCTCTGGTCCATGGGCCAACACTCCAACTGCTGAGCCAAACCGGCCAGGGCTGATACTTCTAATTTTAACTGATAAGCGAAACTTAATATTTATAAATACTTGATTTATTTCATATCCTTAATGTGATTTTTTGTCACATGATAATTTTTCTGAAGTTTTCTAGGATTATTATTTAATTTTAAAAACCATTGATGCCTATTGAGTTAGTTTCTGAAGCCTCTTAGATGAACATAGGATTTTACCCTAATCCATTATTCTCAAGAAGTATGCTGATATTTTTCAAACTTGAGAAATAATAATTATAGCCCTGCCAGTTTGGCTCAGCAGTAGCCAGTGGCAGCCCATGGGCTAATAGTCTTGGGTTCGATTCTGGCCAGGGCACATACCTTCATTGTGGTTTGACCCCAGCCATGGTCGGGGTCATGCAGGAAGCAACCAGTCAGTGTGTCCCTTTCACCTCAGTGTTTCTCTCTCTCTCTCTCTCTCTCTCTCTCTCTCTCTCTCTTTCTCTCTCTCTCTCCCTCTCTCTCCATCTGAAGATAAACAGAAAAACATTCGGGTGAGGATTTAAAAACTATTTTTTTTATAAATTCATAGGACGGCAAAAATATGGAACCAGAGAAAAAGTGTAGTTTTCCCTTGTTTCTTCAAGTGGTTGCATTTTGTGTAATTGTGTAATATTAAAACCGGGAAATTGTGAAGTTGCACTGTCTGTTCCTTTCACTGTATGCTGTTTTAGGCTAGTGATAAAGGTGAGCATGGAGCCACATTGTATTTGCTGAGTAGTTTTCAATCTTCCTTGGTTTTCAGTATTCCTTGGTCTTACCTGGTGTTTTAATTAGAGAGAGCAATTTTGCGCCTGTT